CCACATGGCTACCAATACGGCCACGTACCCCCCACTTGCACACACACGTGCACATGGGTACATTCACACACTACCCACCCCATGCACAGACCCCTCATGCCCACATGCACACACAGGTACCCACACACACAACCGCCCAATGCTCACACAGGCTGGCCTCACACACACACATGGATTCACATGTACACTCCCCATAATGCAGACTCATGCTTTCCACCTCTCACCACCCCATACACACACTAATGCACACATTTCCTGTCGGCTATGCTCACACTCAGTTGTGGCCACATACTCAGGTCACAAGCCCAGTCATCCTCAAGGCGCTGGTGGGCGAGACAAGTGGTGAGGCTGTGGAGGGAGGGAGGACGAGCCAGCCCCTGTGCAGCTCCCGGGAAGAGTGGCCTCGGGAATGCAGGCCCTGTGCTCCCAGGGCTTCTGAATTTTTAAGAGAAACTGGAAAGCTGAATTTTTATGTGAAATACCCTGATTTTTAAATGTTGGCTCAAGATGTTGAAAATACTGTGAGGGCCAAACCAAACACGTCTCTGGGCCAAATTCCACCCACAGGCGGCATTTGCAGACCATGGGTCCACACAGACACACACACAAGTAGACACACATATACACGGATGTACAAATACAAATAGGCACTGGTAACACAATATAGTCATACATGCATAGACACACATGCAAATAGACATACAGATGCATATGCAATCACTGGGCACACGTACAAACACAGACACAGGTATACATCCAAATAGAACCACAGCCTGACACACGGTACAAATAGACACAACAGACACATAAGCTAGGCACGTGTATGAACAGACATACACATATACAAATAAAAGTAAATACGCCACACATATGGATGTACATACACAAACACATAGGCTCACATATATGTATACACACACGTACAAGTACACACACATAACAACAACACAATACCCCCTCTATCTCACTGATGTGTGTGAGCTCATTGAAGGCAGGTAGCCTGGCCTCGGGGCAGGACCAGAGTGTGGTTCACACCAAGGCTGCCCCCAACTCATATGTGTTAGAGCAGAAAAAGTGTCCTGGGGCAGAACCCCAGGAGGGACAAGTTGTCTTGGACTGACTGGAGGGCACAATGAGGGGAGTGGTGAGGAGCAGGTGAAAGGCCCAGTGGCCAGGGCCTGGGAGAGGACTTTGGAGCCACAGGTACTGAAGCTCTAAGAAGGGAGCTTGGGGCAGCTCGAAGCCCACCCTCCCATGCCCAGAATCATCCTCTGGCACGGCCTTGTCTTCTTCTCACCACTGGGAAGCAAAGCCTGCAAGAGCCCCACGGGGACTGCTCATTGGCAGAGCTCCCGAACCAGAGCCGCTGGTGATGTCACTACTGGACAGTGGTCTGTCTAGGGAGAACCACGACTGAGAACCATTGGGCCTTCCAATCAGGGAGCCTTTCTGGAGTGAGACTGGCCTCCCTACCTCCCCCAGAACTGATGCTATAAGTGGAGTGTGTGTGTGTGGCTAAACAATAGGTGCATAATTAATGCAGATACAGGAAGAGGTCCCACCTTCTCTCCCCTCCTGCAAAGATGGTCTGAGGCCAGAGCTAATGGTTGTAGATAGGCCTGGAGTCCAGTGTCCTGCCTCCCAGACCCTGACCACTTTCCTGATCCCCAGCCATTGGATGGGGAGGCACTGCATGGAATCCACACTGACCACCTCTTGGCCCCCACTGCCTGCATGACTGTGATGCTGAAGGAGGGCATCTGTCACATGGGGATGTCCTGGCCTGGGTCCTGAGGGCCCCATGTCTGTCAAAGGGAAGGACAGGAGCCCTGTCCTGGCAGCCAGAACCCAGCCTGGGGACCCTTTGGATATCAGGGTGGGGTACTGAGCCCATGCAGGCAGGAGATGTGGACAGAGAGGCTGAGGCTCAGGATTGCACAGCCCACAGGGAGTCAGCCAGGGCCAGGTCCCTGCCAGGCCCCGGAGTCCCCTCCTCCTGTCCTCTAGAGGCAGCTCTTCTGCCTCAGCCAAGGCTGGTTTCAGTTGGCCATGGTAGCCTCAGGCTGGGACGATTGTCCTGCAGTTGGCTGAATGGGAGCCAGATGAGCAGCTGGACCCAGCAGAGCCTGTATGTCGTAGCTTTGCAGCAAGCCTCACCCCCGTAGCCCCCTCTGCCTGGGTTCTCCACAGCCAGACCTCCCTTCTACCAACCAAGGCAAAGCCAGGATCCTCTTAGAACTCTCCCCTCCCCCGGGCAGGTCTGTGTCCCCTGCCACAGCCTCAGAGCAGACCCCACAGGCAGAGCCATGTCCCGTTTGCACTTGTAGGCAACTCAGTCCCATTGCCCTCCTCTCTGTTCTCCCTCTTATGCCTTCCCAGGGTGAGGGCTGAAGGGTGTGGTGTGTGGGACTCAGCTCCCTCCTGGCTTGTGACAGGCCTGCAGGTTGTAGGTGTGCAAAGCCATCTCTTCGGCGCCCCTGCACCCCTAGACCCTGCTCTGGAGCTGGGAGCTATGGACTCACCTAGGTGCCTCTGGAAGCTGGGCCTGTGTTCCAGCGGCCCTCAGTGGGGTACTTTCTTTTCAAGGGTCTTCAGAGGCCCTCTCCCAGGCTGGGCTAGGGGGAGAAAGGCCAGAGAGGGCAGGGCCTGTCCGTATGCCCGAGACAGGTAGGAGCTGGAGGGCCACCTTACTGTCCCCCTTGGAGTTCAGAGCAGCCCATGAGGTGCCCAGACGCTGTGGCCCAGGAGGCTGAGGAGTCAGGGTCTCTCTTTGCCCTCCTCCCTGCTTGCCTGCCATCCAGCCCGGCTGGTGTTTACATGTTCCCTGTGGCTTGGCTGGGCTGTGAGGCCTTGAAGGGAGAAGTGACCACCTGGCTCCAGCCCCTGCTCAAGGCAAACAGGGTCCTGACCACCTGCCAGGCCCACTGAGGGCTCCCACTTCCTCTGCCAACACCTGGATGGCTCAGGCACAGCGCAGGGGCCTCTTGGAACACGGAGGCTGGCCCTAGTCCGGGAGCTCCAGGTCTAAGAGACCTCGTCCCAGCCTGGGGTTGTACTGACGCAAGAGTTCCAGGCCCGTCAGGGACATCCAGTTGAGGGAAGAAATGGCACAGTCCTGGGTACAATACCAGAGGTGGAGGGCCTCAAGAAGGCCGAGGTACCCAATTGGCTACGGGAGGCCCGGCCCTGCCTGGGGAAACCAGGCCTGATGCGGGGGCCAGGGGGAGCTCCTGGGGCACTTAGTCCATAAGGCTGGGTTTTAGGAATCCACCTGTAGGGAAAGTGGCAACAAGTCTGAGGCGTGGACACCGTCCTGTCCTGGGGATGCCCGTTCTGAATGTTTCAGGGTGATGGGCTTCATCGACTCTGCTTCACAGGCCTCCTAAGAAGTCTGAGCTGGACGATGCAGCCCCCAGCGACCCCCAACTTGGGGCCTTGGTGACTGTGTGTGCACATGTGCAGCAGGAGGGACGAGCTGCCCTGAGGCTCAGTGGTCTGGAGATCCTGGGGCTCTGAGACCCGGAGAGGGTATCCGGTGCCGCTGGGAAGGGGATGAGGGTCTGCCTGCTTGGGCCTCCATCTGCCCGCTGGGGCCTCATCCAGGGTCCCTCCTGACAGCAGCACCTACCATCTCCCTGCCTGGCAACCTGCTTCCCACGAGGCTGCCCCCACTGACCCTGGTGTCACCTCTCCCGGCCTCTGTATGGGACAGGGGACTCCTCTACATGTCACTCACACCTTGGCTCTCCCTCTAGAACTTTCAGTGGCTCCAAGCTCTTGGGGCTCCTTGATGTTCAGTCCAACTCAGTGGCCCTTCAGGTCCTGGCCTGTGCCTCTCACACCATTCTAAGCAGATCATAGCACATTGGAGCTCCATGTACATGCCAGGCTTTTGGACAGTTGTTTGCCCCCCCTGCCATTTAGAAAGGCAGGCAGGCTGGCCTGAGGCTGCTCAGAGCATGCCCATGCCACCCACTGACTGAGTTGGTGGCCCTCCCCTCCCCTCCAATAAGGGGGGTGCTGCTGGAGATGGGGAGCACTTCCTGGATACTGAGTCCATGGAGAACAAGACAGCTTGAGCTGGAGATGAAGGGAAGAAAGGATCAGGCAGGGGCACCCAGCTTGTGCAGAGGCCCAGAGGCAGAGCCATCTTACAGGCTGAGCAAGAAGCTCAGTCTGACCAGAGCCTGGAGCAGAGATGTAGCAGGATCAGTTCTCAAGAGCATGAGGCCAAGGAGGCCCTCTGTCACTCTGGGGCCCAAGCCTGGCGTGGGCACAGGCCAAAGGGACAGTGAGGTGGTGGGTGGGTATGCCTTTGACCCTCACCATAGTGGATGTGTTGAGTTTTGCCGACCCCCAGCTCAGCCAGTGCTCTGGGCTCAGACCCCTGGCTCTCCCACAGGTCTTGAACCAGAGCACACTCCCCAGCCCACCTTTCACTTGATGGTGCCCGCACTCCCTCGTGCTGCACCCTTTGTTTACTAGAGGTGTGGGGGCTGGGGGTCATGGGTGATGGGCTCCCTGAGTGCCCCACCCTCTCAGAGGCACAGCATGGCTGCCAGACAAGCAGGAAAGGTCCTCTAGCGGGGCCTTGGGCTTGGAAGTATGGTCAAGGATCTGAGGGCTCTGCTGTCAGCCCTGGGCAGACAGTGACTGGGGGCTAGGACATGGGGAGCTAGTCCAGAGAAGCCTAGGCCAACGGAGCCTGGGTCCCCCATGGGGCCTGGGAATGAGCGTGGAGAGCAGCCTCGGAGGGCCTGGTGGCAGGGGAGAGCCGGGGCCCAACTCTAGAATGGGCCCACTGAGTCGCTGGGTGACCCCAGCTAATTTGAGCCACTCTAGGACCTCACAGTATCCCCTCCTGGGCCCTTTCTGCCGGACCACGCCCAAAACCCAGGGACTGGCCTGTGCTTCCTAGACCCCCTCCTCATGTGAGACCCAAGAACTCCCTTCCCCTCCTGGGTCACACTCCCCAGTTCAGATCACTGGAAGCCAAACGCTGCTTCCTTTGCCTTTTTTTTTTTTTTTTCTGTTTTGTCCTTCAAGCGCCGGCCCTGAATGGGCAACTGTTCAACCACCTGTCTCTTGGTCCATCAGCTGCCCTTACATCCATAGGTCCAACCCTCGGGTCCCTGATCACATGACTGTCTCCCACTCCTCCTGCAGCAGAGGGTGTGGCCGTTCAGGCACAGAGGCTTCCTCGTCCAGCCCCAAGCAGGAGCCATTGAGAAACCCATCGTCCTTGGGAGCAGCCACAGCAGGCCGTGCCATCTGGAGGGCTGGGGTGCCTGGCTTGGTGTGTCCGGGCAGCTGGGGGTAGCCATTGGTGGTGGTGGCAGGCAGCAGGCGGGGGCTGAGGGGCAGACCAAGGCCTGTGCGGGGGCCTACATTGGTCACGCTTGTGTGAGATACCATCGGCCCATAGCTGTAGCTGCTGCTCCCACTGCGTGCCTTGCGCTTGAAGTCCAGTGCCAATGTCCAGCGGCTCCAGGATTTCTTGATCTCAGCTTGTACCTGGGATGGCAGTAAGAGGGTGGGTGGTCAGGTGTACCCCTACCCCCTCTGCCACATGTCCCCCCAACCCCAGTAGGTCCCACATCCCTGACCCCACAACACTCAGCACTGAATGAAAACAGAGGCATGAGGTATTACTGGGAAATTCCAAGGCCAAGTAAAATCCTGTCATCCTCAGAACACTGTGCCTGGCTGCAGGCTGTTGACAGACCCAGAATCTACAATGGCCCCAAGGGTGGCCGGGTCATTCAGTCTGGATTATGGAGACTTTAACCCTAGGGTTAGCTATGCCAGAAATTGAAGAGCTCACGGAACCTAGCACTTCCTGAGCCTGAATCATCTGGAAACTTCTCTCTGCCTTCATATTCTCAGGGAAGTTCTTGGAGGAAAAACAGAGCAGAAGAATGGAGGAACGGGATTTAGGGGCCCCCGGCCCTCTGCGTCCTCCCTGCCCTGCCCCACCGCTGCACACTGCTTACCTCACCATTGCAGAAACAGTATATGATGGCGACAAAAAATCCCTGTGGAGAGGAAGGAGCAGGTTCAGGGTCCGGAGCCCAGGCCTGGAGCGGAACAGCACCCCCACCCCACCCAGCCCCAGCCAGGCCTGCGCACCTGGAAGGAGTTGAAGAGCATCTCGTAGTGCATCTGGACTTGCCAGAGTGTCCCTGAGACCTCGGTGTATGGCGTGGCCATGAAGACGATGTAGTGGACGCCAAAGAGCGGCATGAGCACCAGTGTGGATTTGAGCAGCTTCCTGAGCCAGCAGGACAGGCAGGTCAGGGCAGAGCCACTTAACCCTCCACAGGCACTGGGCCTCCCCCACCTGCTAAGGGGCCCAGGGCTCTGGCTGCTAGCAGAGGGCAACTCAGTTCACCTGGGACAATAACGTTTGCTGTCTCAGCAAAGAGTTAAAAGGGCCCTTTGGTCCTGAGGAATCCTGGAGCAGACCATACACTGTACGACCACCCTGTCCCGGGGCCCCTGGCTGGCAGTCACCCCCCACCATGGCCTAGCTGCATCACCGACGGCCCACTCCTCAGGGCTCACCTGAGCTCTCACCTTTTCAAAGCCCCACACTACCCATCTGTTCTTCCAGCTCCCTGGGACCAGCTCTTTGAGGACACGTCTGGGTTTGTGCCACCCTTGCAGCCCCCAGCTCTAGTGTGGGGCCTGGCACTGAGTGGCCAGGTCGGTTCTGGGGTGGCCCATGGGCTGGGCAAGACCTCATCATTGCTGGGTGGGACCAGTCAGGTGCTGAGTCCTTCCCTTGAGACAGGCCGCCATTTTTACCTTCATACATGGCACTGGGGTTTGGTAACCCCTGACCCTGAGGAGCAGGGGTGTGGTGGGCGTGGCTCACCGGTACTGCTGCCGCGTGTCACACCGGCCTGCATTGGTCTCCCGCAGCTTGGTGGCGAGCACTCGGACAATGTTGATGAAGAGGATGAAGTTGAGCTGTGGGAGAGAGGGAGGGCTGTGCCTGGAGTGGCACCCCAGCAGGGTGGGGCAGGGCTCTGGGGCCCACGCCCTACCCAGGCTCCCCTCTGCCATGGCATCTCCAGGAGGTCCTTGGGCCTTTGATGTGCCCATCTGGACTGGGTTGGGGTCAGCTTCTCAGGACTTGTGGCTCCAACTCTTGGGTCTAGGGAAGCCTCCACACTCCCTGTCAGGGTCAGGTCAATGGGCCCCAGCCCCACACCCCCACACAGCCCTGTGACCACCCCTGCTCACCACAACAGAGGCCAGGATGGGCACCTGGATGATCCACTTCTTGTTCCCAGAGCTCAAGTCCCAGCACCTAGGGCAAGCTGAGGCATCAGCCCCCATCCCCTCCTGAGCCCACCCACAGAGGCCCCAGGGCTGGTCTGCTCTGACAGCTGCTGTTGGGGGCACAGGACAAGGAAGCACCAGGTATGGCCAGGCCTGAGGCCACCTGAAGAGGCCTCTTCTGAAGTAGCTCCCTATGACCCTAAGGAGGTACCTGGCTCCAGGCTAGACTGAAAACTCCTGAAGCTGGGGCCTCTCAGGGCCAGGGTACAGGAAGCCCCCTCATGCTTCATGGGAGAAGGGTGTACCAGAGGGGTTTCTGGCCTGTGTCAGAGTCCCCTGCCCCATTTTCCACCTTGACCTACCCAGTGTTGGCCAGGGCGGCTCTCACACTGACCCACACAGCCACAAAGACGGCAGGCAGACCTGTGGGTGCAGAGGAGACCATGTGTGAGGGACTGAAGGTATTGTCCAAACCTTTCTCCTCAGCCCACCCCACCAGTCCCATTACCCTCATCCCTGATGACTGGCCCTGTTGTTCTCTCCACCTCCCTCAGCCTGGCCCCCGGGCTGCCTGGTGGCACAGCCATGCTCAGCCAAATGCTGCCTGCAGTCCCAGCGGCCTGTGCTCGGGACTCCAGCCCGCGGGCCCCAGTTCAACCTCTGCCCTCCTCCTGGTTCTGCGTCTCCTACCCACATAAGCACACCTGTTGGGTGTGTGAGAAAATAAGGTATCACTAACATCTATACCCAGTCATCCCCCTTCCCCCACCCAAAGGGTGCTGCTCTGGGCTGGGGTCTCCCTGTGGGGAAGAGAGCCCATTACAGGCATTGTTCTGTCCCAGAGCCTTCCGATCCACCCAGTTTGAAAGGTCCTAGCCCCCATGGATCAAGACAGATGGGGTGAGATTTGTTGTTCAGCATGGCAAACAGGCCACAAGGGAACTTTGGTGTGCCCGGGCCTGACCCAGCCCAGATGACAAAAGGTATCTCTGAAAGGAGCCCAGGTCCCTACCTTACAGTCACTCACACGTCACCCTGGGCCCAGTGTACCCTTGGGAGGCACATGGCATAACCTGGGTTTATGGTGAGAGAGAGATTCCTGTGCTACAAAGGTTCTGTGCTCCCCGATCTTTGTGTTTCCTGCTACCCTGATACTTTCTAGCCCCAGAGCCCATGTCAGGTCCTGGGACCAGGCCTGGGTCTTCCCCAGCTCTGGGGCTTGCCAAGGGTGAGGTCAAGGTCAGAGTGTGTGCAAAGCAGCAGGGAGACTGTGGCTATTGATCGGAAGGCCTCTGGGTGCTGAGCTTGGGGAGGGCTCCAGCCACCCAGCTTAGCCCTCTGCAGTCTGGCCATTCGCCCCAGAGCCCAGCCAAGCTCTGGAGCTGCCAACAATAATGAACAATTATCAGTAACTCGATCACAGGACCCGTGGGGGAGGAGTGCAGAGCTCCAGCAACCCATTTTGCAGAGGGGCTGCCGAAGCCAATGACCCTGAAAGCCCAGGCCTGTGGCTTTGGCCATGGACCCGTGGGCAGGGAGGCAGTGGTGTGGACAGCTCCACACAGTGAGGGGATTGGGGGAATACCTCAGGATGGAGGGAGGGTCCCAGATCCCTATTCCAGCCCCAGGCTGACTTCTGACCCAAGATTCCTGCTCTGATCTCAAGCAGAATCTGGGCCCAGGAGTCCCCACTCACCGTCCTGGGCTGAGCCTCAACCTCAAGTGAATCTCTGCCTTCAGGTGAGCCCCAACCCCAGGCTGGACCAACCCCAGGTGACCCGTGGCCAAGCCCTGTTTCCCAAGCCTGGGATGGGCTCAGCCACAGGGCAGTATATGGAGTGTGCCTTACCCGCAGGGGCACCCTCTGGCCCCACTACCCAAGGCCCCACCCTCGCCTGCACCTCAGCAACCGCGGCACCTGCATACCCCAGCCGAAGACCGTGAAGCCCCACAGGTACTTCTTCTCTGAGAAGAAGGCCATGAAGATGAGGCTGTGCAGGTACAGCCCCTCCACCAGAATCCAGTAGTAGTTGGTGGCCAGGAAGTAAAGGAAGAAGGTCACAGCCACCCTGCAGCCCGCCTAGGAGACCAGCTGGTGTTAGCCAGAGGGCAGGGCCTGCATCGGGCCAAGTCAGGGGCAGCAGGGGCGGTGCTAGCTGGGCACAAGTGGGGCTAGCCAAGCTGACAAGGAAGAGGCAGGCTTGGCGGGGCCCTCTACCAAGGGCAGGGCTGCCGGGTGTGGGCGGGCGGTCTTGCCAAAAGCAGGAGGGCCATTAGAACAGCGATGGGGCAAGGTGAGGAGGTGGGGTGGCTGGGGTCCCTGCGCTGAGGCAGGAGTGTCGACGAAAGTGCAGGGAGTGGGAGGCGCTGCAGAGCTCATGGCGGGAGGCGCTGGACGCAGGGCTGCGGGGTGCCAGGATCAGTGGCCTGAAGCCAGTGGTAGCAGGAGACGGGCAGGGGCGGGGGCTGGGCCGGAGGTGCCGGCGCGCAGCAGAGTGAGACTCCCCGGATGCCAGCGGTGGAAAGGAGCCCCAGGCGTGGGCCGCCGGAGGGGAACACTCACGTAGCCGACGGTGGCGGCGGCGGGCGGCGGGGGTGCCTGGGAGATGGCGCGCAGCTCTTCCTCGGTGAGGCGCTCAGCCTCGTCGAACGTGGCGCCCGAGTAGAGCACCGCGTCCTTGACGAAGATGCTCACCGCGCGAAGCATGAAGGACAGGAACAGATGCATATGGATGTAGTTGCGTGTGCAGTGCAGCCGCCTGCGGGGCGCGCAACATCACCGTGGGTGGGGGCATGAGGACGCGCGGCGGGTGGTCAGGAAGCTGGGCTGTGCGCGGTAGGTAGGGTCACTCGGCAGGGGTAGGGGCACTGAGGAAAGGGAGGCACCATACCCGGGCCCCGCCCCCAGCCTCCGTCCCGCCCCTCGCCCCGCCCACCTAAAGTAGGCCAGAATCAGCACAGCCACGGTGAGGGAGGCCAGCGAGACTGAGTAGCCCACTGTGTAGATCATGCCCAGGCGGTCAAACACCTCCTATGTAGGTGGGAGACATCGTCACAGACCTGGGACTCGGTATGAATCAGGTTAAAGGGCAAAGGCCAGGTAAAGGTTGCCGGACTAGGTCAGGGGTCACCAGCAGCGTAGGGGGGCCTTATCCGGGTCAGGTTGGGGAAAGGGAAAGCCCGCACCCGTTCACGAGTCTCATTGGTCAGGAACTTGACGCACTCGCTGTAGTTGGCCCATGTCCGGTTGTGCCCTGGCACCAGCTCCCAGCTGCCATTGTGGTCACAGCGACGGTAGGCATGGCCTGCAGTTCCATGGGAAGGTCAGGACGGGCAAAGAGGTATCCAGCCACTGAAGCCCTGAGCTTCAAGTCCTGGTATCCCTGTAGTCCCCACCCTACTCCAGCCCACCTTACCTTTGTGATTGAAGTCATAAATGTAGTCTGGGCAGGGTGCAGCCACCACCTCACCTGGTGCCCCCAGTGGCCAGCACAGGATGTGGTCCCACTCCGGCAGGCAGGGGTGCCCTGTGCCCACAAAGACAGACAAAGAGGAGAACACCATTCAAGAAGGAACAATCAGTGACCAAGAGGGATGAATACACCTGTGGTAGCTGACTCCCTCAGGGACAGCTGCACCCCCAGACTGGAGAACTCAGGCTGTATTGAGCCCTTACTCCCTACTGTGCCCTGAGCCCACCTAGCCTCATAGATTTCACTACAGTCCCTATTTGCAGGTGCTGGCACTGGCCCTACTTTCTAGATTGGCTGGCAGAGGCCAAGAGAGGCAAGTGATTTGCCAAGTCACACAACCCAGGGCCCAGCCCTCCTCAAGTGCTCAGCCCTGGCAGGCATGTGTTTTTTCTCTGGTCTTGGTCCCACCTTCCAGGAGTCCCTAGAGAAGGGCAAGTTCCCTGACTAACTCTCCTTCCGCTGAGGATGCTTCCTATGTGAACCTAGCCCAGGGACCATGGACAGGAAGCAGTAGGTCTAGTTTCCAGGGCCATTTGGATCCTCAAATAGCTGACAACTTCATGCAGGTGTCCGTTTTCTTTGCACTTCAATTTCTTCACTGGGAAGTTGGGATTGACTCCATCAGCCCATGCTTCCCCACCGCCCAAGGCCCACCCTGAGCACCTGCTATAAGGCTTTAGCTACCATTCGTGGGGGTAGACATAATTCTCCAAATGTAAGTGCTAAAACTGTGCGATTTGAGGCGGGATGACATATCCCACTTTGGGCCTCCAGACTCTCAGCAGAGATGCTAAGTGACTGTGGAGGGTCCCCAGTTGCTGAATCTTCTACTTTCCATCCCCAAGGTCCCCTCTTTCCCCCTGCATGGTTCCAACCACATGACTCTCCAGTCACCCTGGAAACTGCCTTGACAGCTAGACCCACCCCAGCTTGGTGAAAGGCTCTCTGTCCTGGGCACCACATTCCCAGCCCCGCCCAACCAGGCCCACAATTCCCTCTGGTCCCTGGGAGCCACAGTGTGACCGCAGCCTCCCAGATGTGGCCCATCTGGAATCTGCTGCCCACCCAGCCGGTTCAAACTGGCCCTGTGGCTGCAGCCTGGACTTTGCATTTGTCTCTACCTTCCTGTGAGACAGTGCAGCCTGGCCTCTCTCTCCCTAGTTTCTTGTCTCCACTCCTGTCCTACTGTGGCCCCACCCCTCTGGGGCACCCTCCTCCCCTGTTTGTCTCTAGGGCCCATCTCACCATGTGGCTTGGTCCATACCCCTCTGACACACTCACTTCCAGTCCCAGTTTGTGTCTCCTGGTCCCCTGTCTCTCCCTGCCTCTCTTGATCTCTGTCTCTCTGTGTCTTTGGGTCTCTCCCTATCTGTGTATCTCTCCCTGTCCCTCTGTCTCCCAGGTTCTCTGTCATTCCCTGCACAGAAGGGGCTGTAGCTCTGGGTGCACCCCTAGGGTGGTAGAGGTCAAGTTCTCTGTTCACATCTTCTGGGGGATCAAGCCTATTCAGTTTGTCTGTCCCCTCCACACACTGCCCTCTGTCTCCTCCCAATCCTTCCCCTGCTTTCCTGGGGTGGGGACCACAGCCTCTTTTTTTCATAAGAGCCAAGGAGCATGATGAGCTCATAGGAGGAGGACAGAGCAGTGGGGCAGGCTGGTGGTCTAAAGGGTCTTGATGGATATATGGAAGCACAGACGTACCTCGGTGCCAGCTGCCAATGGTCACCTCCTTGTCCTCTTCAGACTCGGGGTAGAGTTTCCCAGATGCCTTCTCTTTCCTAGGCTTCCCTGATGTGAACGCAGATACCCATCCTTTGTCTGATTCCATTATGTCAGCTGGAGACATCAGGGAAGTCACGGCTGTGAACTGTGCTGTGGCTGGAGACCCAGAGCACCCTCCTTCCCCAGACTCCCCCTTTGCACAGTGGGGGTTGTCCCCTGCCCTGCGGACAGCCCAGGCTGTTGGGAGGGCTGAAATGACAGGTAAGGAAGTGCTTTACAAATTGTAAAGTGCTTGCCAGGTGCAGAAGTAATCAGAGGGGACGAAGACTGTCAATGAGGGGTCAAATGGGAATGAACACCATGCAGGTGTGGGATCAGCTAGCGGGTTGAGAGGTAAATGTGGGCAAGCTATGGGCAGAGACGATGCCCTCCCACCCAGGAGCTGGAGCCAGAGCCCATGCAGAAGGCGAAGGCCCCACCAGGGGGCGCGTGGCAAAGTAGACAGTAGTGGTGATGTCAACGGAGAGGTTAAACAGGGAAAATGGAGCTGGGCCAGAAAGCAAGTGCCGGTCAAGAAGCTGGGGTGTGGAAGACAAGAAGGAGAGGGTGTAGCTGTCAGGGGTGGGCAGACAAGTCTACATACCCCAACCCCTGCCCTAGGATACTTGAGTTAGTGGTTCACAGCTTCCACAAGGGACCCTGGAGACTCCATGTGAGATGGGGCCTGGCCTTCCCCTCCATTGGAGATGCTCCAGGTATCTCTTCCTTGCTGAATAGTCTTCCTTATTATCTGACTTGCACCCTACAAGCTACAGCACAGCCAGGGCCCTGGCCTGCCCCAATCTGGGTTTGTGGCAACAAGGAGAATGAAGAGAGGACACCCAGGACTAGAATGGGATGGCTATGCCCATTTTCCAGCCTGCCCTTGGGCATCAGTAGGGTGGGGGTAGCAGGATAGGGTGGAGTGGGAAGAGAGGAGCTCTGATGAACACAGAGAGAGAGGTGCCTCCAGGCTTCCACAACTAGGAAAAAGGCTGGGTTCAGGACCCAGAGCAGGGAGCCACCTGACACCCCAGGCCCTGATATAACTGGGGCAGGGGACCAGGGACCCACATGTGGGGCCAGTGTGCACAGGGCTGTGACTGCAGAGACCATATGAGTCCCTGCGAGTGTGCACCAAGTTGTGGGCTATGAAGAGTGTCACTGTGTGTGCTTGGTCTTGGGTGTGTACTGACAGCCTTCCATAGCAGAGTAAGGGCCAGCTGAAGGAAGGAAGCTGAACTTGTGGGCCTCTTGCAGGCTGAGGAGGTTAATCAGACATCAGAGGCCTGGATGGGTGCAGATGAGGTCCTATCTGCACTTGTAGGAAATGGACTCCAAGAAGAGACCAGCTTGAGACAGGGGCAGGAGAGGTGAAGGCTGGTGAGCGTACCCCCCAGCTCCCCGAGGCAGGGTCCCACAGAGATGGTGTGCTGGTAGAGGAAGTGCTCCCTATCCTGGGTCAAGCAACATCCTCTCCCAGACAGTGACCATGACTGACAGTCATAGGTCTCCAACCCTCTCTGCTGTCCTCCTGTTATCCAGCCATATGGACCCTCTCCTCTCCTGACCCTGCACACCTCTGCCTTGTCTGCTTCCCAGGTTGCCTCCTTCCAAAACCTACTCACCCTCTGGACCTGCTGCCTTGGGTACCCCTTTCTCCAGGAAGCAGTCTCAGCCCAGCCCAGTGGGGTCTGGCACCCTGTCAGCGCCTCTGATCCTAGTGCACCTCATGGGATCTATCTAAGCTGGCTGGGCGTGATTCCGACTTCAGACGACCCTACCCACGCCCCGGGAGGGAAGGCGCAGCACATCTCTCAGCCTGCTGACTTTGACCCTGCCTGACTCGCCCCACTTTCGGTCCTCACTTTGGCCTGGCCTCCCTATCCCTGGAACTGCCCTGTCCTGGTGCTACTGGGTTCTGCCTTGGGCCCCCACCTTTGTCTGGCCCTCCCTCTCCTGATCTTGCCCCAGTCCCTCCTCCTTTGGTCCCGCCCCACCTGGCTCCACCCGCACCTGGCCTCTGCAGGACTTCTTGGAGCTGCTTCTCGCATTGGGCCTGGGCGTGGTGCAGCAGAAAGATCTGCTCCTCCTTGGTCATGACGTCATCTGCATCCACCTACCAAGCCAAAGGGCAGACCGCAAGCAGGACTTCACTGCACAGCGCAGGTCTTGCGACCACCCCAACCTCCCTGAGGATTCCCTCCTTTCCAAAGGCCCCGACTCAAGAATGTGGGCAATCTGCCTTACAGAGCTCCCATTTTACAGATGGGAAGTTGAGGCTCCAAGGGATAGGGCCTGCCCTACCAGAGGAAAAAAGGCGGGGGTGTGGGGAGGTTGGTGTCCCCTGCTTGCCCGCTAGTAACCCTGTAGGCTGCAGCCACTGATACTCTCTGTCCAGTCTGTTCCCCAGAGGTACATGGGAAAGGGATGGAATGTCCCAGGATGGATCTTCACAGGATCCTGGCTGTCTGTTGGGGACCTGGGTGAGGAGGAGGGGTGGGTAAGGAGTGTGAACTCTGGGGAAACAAAACAGGCCTGGATTCCTTCAAGTCCTAGCACCCTGGGGGACCTTAGGAGTCTTCAGTTTCCATCCTGGCCCTCTCCCCAGTCAGTCCTTTCCCCAGTGAATGGTGAGTGCCTCGGCTCCTCCCACCCTTGTTGGTCCCAAGAGAGAGGACGCAGGAATTGCTGGCAAGTGGTTTGGGCTGGGCGGGGCACTCCAGCAGGAGTGCAGGCTATGGGTGGGGGTCACCTACATCCCACTGCTTATCTGGAAGCTTCCTCCCATCTAAGCACACCCTGTGTACAGATGATGCGGGCAGGCCTTTGCTCCCGCTGTTCCCTTCGCCTGGAGTGTCCTTCCTTCCCACCTGCACACGCTGGGCATTGGCTGCCACCCACAGGGATGCACTGGCATCATTTAAGGAAGGAAAAAGGAGCATCGGGGGCTGGGGAGGGGGTCTCACCCTGTACCTCTGTTCCCCTGACTTAGGGTTGGAAGGGAGTCAGAGGGTCAAGGCGGTATCCTGACTGGGAACAGCCCAGTGTGCCCAAGTCCAGCCACTCAAGAGGTTAATGCATCCCCTCAGAACTCCTCCCCCCAAGTCCATGTTTCCTCAGACCCCCCAAGACAGGGACATATCCCCTGAGACTACTGAGACCCAGGGCACGGTTGTGTCCCTTCAGGGTCCACAGGCGAGAACATGGTCCCCTGAGACTCTGAGCAGGCTGAGCTGCCGCCTCTTAGGCGTCCAGTAACAGGGCTGGGCCCCCTTTACTCTAAGCGGAGCTTTGCAGGAGGCAGGGAAGGTAGGAGGAGGGGCGGGGAAGGGGCGGCAACCAGCCGGCAAGGGCGGGCTGGCAGGCTGGGGCGGGTCAGGGCGCCCGGTTGCCGAGAGAAGTTAATTGACCGCGACTCTTGGTGGCAGGAGCAAGGGCTTCCAGGGCCAAGGAGTCTCCAACTGGCTCGGCGGCCGAACTTGGGTTCTGCTGGTTTCACTTAGCGGAGGCGCGTGCGCGTCTTTGAGCGTGCGCATGAGTGGCGGTGCATCCCCAGGCAGCTGCGCTCACACTGGCCGCTGCGTGCACTTGTGTGTCCCTGGCACTGTGTTCTCACGCGGGGATTGCCTAGCATGCACGTTTGGGACGTGAGCCCGAGGTGTCTGTGAACATCCATGTGTACATGTGTTTATGGGCAAAGGTCCCATGTGCACAACTGCAGTTGCTGGTTAGCATGCCTATCTGTGGGTGTGCGTGCTTCCGTGTGACTCTGGAGTCTGAGTTGGACCCTGATATCTCATCTGGAGCCCACAGGAAAGGTTGGAGCTGACTCCCAGGTGCTGGCTGCCAGCCTCCATAGCTCCTCTGCCTTACATCCCTCCTTCCCAGCTATGGCTGAACAGGTTGCCAAAGAAGTAGCTGCCAGGACGCAGCTTGAGGGAGGACAATTTGGGCCTGCCCTAACTCAGAGGAGTTCAAGACTAACCTGAAGTTCTCTTTGTGACTCTGGCAATGGGGATACAGGCTGCTGAGGAGACTGATCCCTATGTTGGTGCCCTGCTCACCCTACCCCCATGGCAGCAACCCCTCATTCCCATTCCCATTGTTGCAACTAATACCTCCATTAATCACCACCACCACCAACTAGCACCCTGACCACCACCAACACAACCATCACCACCCCTCACCCTGACTGCCACCAATACCACCGATACGACCACCATCACCAGCAGCACTGTTACCACCGAGAGCACTAGTTACTATTACCATTCATACGAGCACCGTTACCACCATCGCACATCACAATGGTAGATCACCACCATGCTCTTCCCACCAGCCCCATAACCACTGCCGCTGTTCTACCCCTGCTCCCTCACCACGCCCTGTTCTCTGCTACCCCTTCTCCTTCTGCCCACATCCTCTCTCAAGACCAACAGATAATGCACCATATTTTTTTCAGCTGATGGGAAGCTCCTGAGTGAGTGGCTGAGGCTTTCACCAGTTCCCAAACATAGGCCCACCAGCCCTCCCAGTAGACAGACTAGCCCATGGATGTGACTTGAGGGTCAAATCTGATGGCCTAAAGGCCCACAGTCATGGGTTGAAAACTGCTCATTTGTCAGACTGACCAACAGAGAGGTGTGCTAGCTGGGTGATGACCAGGAACCAAGGACACACTCTTTCGCAGGCCCCAGGTGTGTGCTCAGCATCCTCCTACTGCTGTTGGCTTCGCACTCTCTGTTCTAGACTCTCACTTCCATGGTGGGTCTGGGAATGCCCAAGAGAGGGTGTGCTCCCAGCATCCCGTGGCTCCCAAACTCCAAAGGGACAGTGGCCCCACCTCTAGCTCCTCTGAACTATAAGGCCCATTTCCGTGTCATCCAATCATGGCAGAACTGCCATTGCAGCAAGAGGAATTTGAGCCAACTCAAGGAAGCACTTTCTCAAGGACAAGAGGGAGCTCCCCTGCCTGGAATGCCCCCACTGGCCCCTCCCTCCAGCTGCATCCTCTCCTCTGCCAGGGGGATTCTGCCCCAGCACTGGCTTTGTGTCTTTGGGACAGTTGCTTACCCCTTGTGCCTCAGTTTTGCACCTGTAAACTCAGGATAACAATAGGGCTGCCAAGAGGACTAAGTGAGGACAGCATGAAAAGCCGGGGCAGGGCTGGGCAGGGAAAGTTGGTTGCTATTATTGCCCTGTTAGCAGCCCATAGCACCAAGCCATGGCTCCTCACCTGCCAGGTGCCACAGGTGCTCCAGGCTGAGGACCCACAGTGGCATGGGGAGACTGTTTGGGTAGGTGACTGAGTCCAGGGGCCCACAGTGAGGGGCAGATTGGAGGTGGGATTCCTGGAAGGATTGAGAGCAGGGAATACAGGAAAGCCTGCTGGGTGAGGAGTGCCTGGTAAGCTTTTGGGGTGGAAGGACATCCCTGCATTTCTGAATCTACCCTGGACTCACACTAAGATTCAAAGTCACTGCCAGGCACCCCAAGCTTGGGTTTGGGGGCCAAGAGGCCCCTCCTCTGCCTCCTCTCTAAGGAGGCTTACTCTCCTGCGGGTGACAAGGAAACTGCTGACAGCTCTTACTCTCCTCCTGGTCCGGTGACTCCATCTGCTGCTCCCTCCTCAATCCACCAGCCCCTCTCCTTGAAGAGCTCAGGTCTTTTTGGCCCAGTTCCTGGTGTAAAAGGCTCAGATTTGCATCATTTTAGAGCCAGAGAGTCTGCAGATCTTGGATCTTGGGACTGAAGTACCCAGGGCTGGGTCATGGCCAGGGGTCAGTTAGTCTACACTCCCACTGATGGGCCCTCAGCCCTGGTGTCAAGTGTCCCCAATCCCCACACCCCCATCTCTACTGTGGTCTTGGGTTAGGGCTGACTTCGCTCTGACCTAACCATCACAGGGCTCAGCTTCAGCGTTCCCTGCTATAACACACTGTCCCCACATTCTGCCCCAAACACGTGTGAACATGTGTGAACATGCACAGCCTGATCTTAGCCCTGAGCTAGGGGAACAGGGGAAGAGGGACCACTGAGCTGGTGTTTGTGGGACTCCAGACAGGGTGCAGGTAGGTCCTGGAAGCCAGTATATTATTTACAAACATAGAAGCTGTTGTCCCAGGGAGAGAGTAGTGTGTGGTCAAGAGGCCTGGGTGTGTTTCTCATTTCCTTAGTTCAGAAGCTCAGAAGAGAAAAGTCATCTGCTCACTACCCCTCCCAAAGGGGGGCAAGCAAATCCTTCTAACTCAGCTGCAAGGGAGACCCCACTGAGAATGATGTTGGAGCTGGGGGTGTCAGTGCTGATGGCCATGGCGGAGGAGGTGAGGACAGTGAGGTGGCAATGTCAGGGCTGGTTGTGGTGATGGAGGTGTGATGGTGGAGGTGGTGGTGGGGAGAGCTGGTTCCATGTCACTAAACAAACAAGGGCCACTCCTCTCGATTCATCTCCTAACTGCCAGATTCCACACAGTTGCTGTTTGTGATTTCAGACATGCCTAAATTCTCCTCCAGGCAAAACTAGGGAGCAGACACAAGGGACCTTTCTCCAGCCGCTGACACCTTTGCCTTTGGAAAAGGAGCTTCTTCCACGGCATGGTATTAGCCTCAGGATGTCTTCTTGGGTCATCTCATCCATCCCTCTGCCTGGGTTCCACCTGGTCCCCTGGGGGAAAGGCAGCTGTTGGCTTCTTGCTTCTCTCTATAGAAAGCAAATATGCTTGGTGCTCACCCCTGGACTTGGCCAATTTCTCCCACCCCATGAGAGTCCCTCTGCCTGCTGGCACCAGCCATTGCCCCTAGAGTTTTAACCACATCTCTTTCACCTTCCACTGCATCCCCATCTTACAAATAGGGAGTCTGAGGCTGAGAATCATGGTTAGAAAAAGGAGGGCCAAGATTGGAGTTAAGGTCTGCTTGCACTGAAGCAGCAACCCTGGAGGAAGGGAAAGAAAAGGGGCAGTACCCAGCCTC